TTGCATTCTGGACGTAGCTCTGCGACATGCCGATCTTTTTAGCCAAATCACGGCTTGAGACGTTGGGATTTGCTTTAATCATCCGCTTCACCTTTCCCTCCGTCTTTTTGTTCTCCGGTCCCGGTTTTCTTCCAGCTCCTTTGCCGTGGTCCAACGTCAACCGCTCCTGGAACCGCTTCAACACGCTGGAGACGGTTGAATGGTGAATGTTCAACATTTTTCCCAACTGCCGGTGCGACAGGTCAGGAAATTCCAGGTGTTTGGAAAGAATTTGTTCTCTCAACTCGCGTTGGTTCACCTCCATTTTCGTTGAATCGAAAAACACGACTTCGAGTTTGACAGCATGTACACAATACACATCAATGAGAAAGTGTGCAAAATTTGGTTGATTTTTACCCAATGGTAAAAAAGTTATGCCCTGTTGAATGTGTCGCAATAATTTCGTGTTCGCCCTTTATCACACCTGTAACTCCTTTTGTTAAGAGCCGCGTCGTAGTAGGGTAGGATGGTGCAAAACGCACCGTTTAAGCAAAACCATCAATTGCTGGCGTTTGGAAGCTAAAATCAAGGAGAAATAATGGTGTATGGTTCATTACCATGTTTTCTACGAAGATCGAGTGATTTCGAACTACAAAACGATGATATTTCATGATATTCAAGGTATTTTATAAATCGGTTCTAAAATGATAGCGGGGAAAACGGCTGATTCATGGTGCAATATGCATCACAACATTGGGGCAAGACGCACGACAACAATGGCCAAAACTCACCACAACATTGGGGTAAAATGCACCGCATGATAGACAAACCATAACCCATAGGCGTAGCCAGAGGGGGGCAGAGGAGGGCAACTGCCCCCCCCTAAACTCAGCAACACAAAGGCTTTCGGTGAAATGGCATTCGGCCAAACTTTCCACAGTAACTTTTTTTCGCCCCTCCCTAGCTCGAAACCTGGCTATGACCTAACCCCTGAAAGTAGATCATGCAAAGGCATGAGGTATTTCAAATGATTATTCCTTTATGTTACATCAGAAATAAGGTCTCAATAGAGTGTTAAACTATGATTCATGAAGTAAAACATATAAAAGATATACGAAAAGTGAATAAGTATCATTATTTTGCGATATATGCTGTTAAAAGCTTAATTTGCAGTCGATGATTTTAACAACTGTGTCATGTTTTGCACAAAATGCAATTTTTTAAAGGAATCAGTAGGTCAATATATGATTTTATGATCAGGAAATATTTGTGAAACCTCCAGTTAAAAACAAACACAATCCGTTACCCGGAAAATGCATCTGAGGAAAAGTTATCGTTGTTTTTCTATAAGTGGGCATTTTACCCCTGGGGGTGCATTATGGACTGTTCTCCCTTACGCTTACGTATAGGCACTGAAGTTGGGTGCGATACTGGCGGGTTTTTCCGCAAATCACTCATATTTTATTTATATTTACACAGATATATTTATTTGGGTTTGCACGGGAATTATACTATTGAAATATTTCAGAAAGTGCCCAACAGTGGTCCTTCTACTTGCGTGACAAGCTTTCATTGTTGTTTTCATTGAAGCATTACTCAGGGAACAATGTTAAACACCATTTGTGTACATGGTATTGTAACTAATCTTATTCATATATGCTTCATTTTTGTTTGGGATAAGTGTTTAAACTATGGCTCGAGATTTCCACTGTGGCGTGCTTCTATTGTGACATATCCAAACGTAGTTTTGTGGGACGACAAATGAAACATGTGAGCGTAGTTAGAGCATATACCCTATATAATTTAAAAATCAGCTAGGAAACTAACTTCAAAGTGAAGCATTTTAGTTACTTGAAGGTGTCACTTGGGACGAACCCAATATATCATAAATATAGCTCAAAGTCAAAATCAACTTGAAACACGTTAAATTTTAAATTACATGCACAAGTACAGGTACTTAATAAAGCATGGGTTATGATTGATTAGGTAGATTAGAGATTTCAATTATTTATTAAATTAGGCTAATGAGGTATCATAATCATCAAACGAACTTAAATAAGAAAATTTAGACAGCCTAATAACATTAAGTAAATTAACAAAAGAGTTAGTATACGGGGGGTCCGCCTAAGGAGGCAACTATCTTTTAAAGCAACTGGCAACTAGCTTTTTCATATATTGTCTGTTTATTTTGATGGTTGCTTTAAAATATCAATTTGGTATATATGTGAAAGGATGAATCGGTTTCTTTACATTTTGCAGAACAAATCTAGTACTATGTGTCATTTCCTCAAAACCCCCCAATAACCGACCTCTTCAATACCTTCCTTTTCCCATGGCGTTCAAGTGGTCCGCATAGACTACTCAGCCATTACCCTTCCCTTAACCTCGGCTTTGGATTGACTTGCGCTCCCATTGCCATACCAAACGCTGCAACATGCAAATATAATGTATTGTTATTTGCATTTTGGTTAGTTGTATTTTACCTCTTGTCAGGCTGATCTACACCAAATTTTGGTATCGATTAGGAATCCATCTAACGGAGTTCCAATTGCTTGGTTAAGTCAAGTGAAATATCGTGGACTAGTACTTGACCAAAAATTAACTTTTAAAGATCACATATAAGGCATCCAAGCCAAATGTATCACATATCAAGACCAACAGTTAAAAACGCATCAACTCTATTTTGTAAACAAACCTTGTTAGGGCATTCTGTCGCGAACCGAAGTCCGTCAACGCAAACCAACAAAATGAACAGGTAGGGGAAATTTTCCTCTATTGTAGGTTTCGGTTCGCGAGAAAATGGCCTTACAAGGTTTGTTTACAAAATGGAGTTGAGATCTATTCAATTGTTGGTCTTGATATATAACATGTTTGTTTCCTCTTATGAACAGGAAATCCAAACTTTACCTGAATAGGTAATAAACTTCTAATATTTAAACAAATCTTTAGACCGGCCATGCTTTACGCTGTGCCCATATGGTCTAATTGTTGCACTACCAGGAAAAGCTGTACAAAGGATTCAGAACAAAGTTCTGAAGATAATTTTGATGCTGCCTCCCTGGTACAGTACTACTGAGGAACACGTACTTTTGAATGTTGAGACATTAGAACAGATGTCCAACAAAATAATTAATAATTTCAGGCAAACATCGCTACAATCTTCAATTGCAACGATCAATTCCCTTTATAGTTAGAGTTAGTTTAAGTTTTTAGTTTTAAAATGACCATTATTTGTACTAGAAAACCTGTTATTAAAACTAAATTGCGTTAGCGTTAGCGTTGTTAAAAACCTGTTTTTAAAACTAAATTGCTAGGGCAGAAACAATTTAAACATACTTAGATATAGATCCTAACAGATGAGCTTGTAGCTGGAGCACCTAGGTTAAAACATGAATGTATATTTATTTGAATTTAGAACAAATAAAGTGTTGAAAACAAAACATTGAGACTCCACCTTGAAGTTAAAAAAAAATGTTGCATCCAATCGTGGTCGAATAACAATCTCCATCGAAATCAACCCATTGACAGCTTCGGCACTTCGTTACCTATTGTCGTCAGGGGGTAAATGAAGCCAAATGAAGCCCTTGAGCGCTGATTTTTTGCATGAAGGTACATCATATTCTGTTCCAGAGCATTATTTTGCAAAAAATGAACACTCTAATGTGGACCCTACATGATTGATTTTATCGCAATACATTCTATATTGACGTCAATACATCATTTCTGTATTCACATCATCAATATTATTATCAATAATTCCCGTTCGCATCAATATATTGATACGTGTGGGGTTCGCTTAAGACTCAATTTACCCCCATGACAATAAGAGGTAAAGCCGTGCTGCAGCCGTTATTTCCCCTATCTGTTTATTAGCGTTCACGTTGGTTTACGAAAGCACGTCAATACACGCTTGAGCAGCATTTTCATTTGTGATTGATAACTGAGAATCCTAGATAAACATTTCAAAAGGTCCTATCTTCATTGATCCCCTTCTGTCTCGTAAAATCAGAATCAAATCAAAATCGAAAGGTCCTATCTGCATTGATCGATTTTCTTTTTACGATTTTCTCGTTCGTTAATACCTCAAGCTGAACAATGCATTACGTTCTAACATTGATTGATTCTTTTCGTCGACTTCCTCTTTCGTTAATAACTTGTTTGTTATTTTTTGTGATACGTATTGGGAACTGTTCCCTTGAGCATTTTTTAATCTCAAAGTGGAACGAGAACAAAATCAGTTGAGTTGGACTCGGATTCGATTATGTCTAGCGTTCAGAATCATAAAGGTCTAACTGCGATAATTAACTCATAAATGACATACAGTGGAGCAACTCAGTGATGAGTAAATTGACCTCATGTTTTCCAGGAAATCTTCCCGAATATGAGAAAAGTAAAGATTAGATTCACTTAGTCTATTGGTGCTACTTCTAGACTGAGTAAAATTTGCGTCAACTTTCCTCATTTTCCGGCCGATTTTTGATGTTTTCCACAGGGAACCAGTAGGCAAATTGACACATCGCTGAGTTCCTGCACATAAGGCGATTATGAGTGAACTAAACTCAAATTTGGGTCGTTCTCATTCGCCGTGCACAGTTCAAAGAACAATTTCTCCGAACTTATCAAAAGCAACATCATATGCACCGAGAAATGTAAATCCAGCAGAGTTATTAACTAAAGAGAATCGATCATCGCAGCTAGACCCTTATGATTCTGAACGTTAGACATAATCAAATCCGTGTCCAACTAAACTGAGCGTTATATTTCACTTCCAACATTTTTAAAAAGCATTACATAGCATCAACCATTCATAGTTGCAAGTCTTCGATGAAGTCCGCTTCGGTTTTGTAGCGTGTATGTTTTGATAATACTGAGCTCATTTTTATCATGTCCATCTCCTACTACGTTTACTGATTCTCGCTGTCCTCAAGCAAAGTCACACACATTGTCAGTTTTGTGGGTTGTGTTTGAAACACTTACAAGTTCATTAACAGCATACGTACATTTTTGTTTTTACTTTCCAGTGCACTCACGTGGTTAGGCTAGGCGATACGGATAGAGACCTAATTCTGCCCGAAGAAGGTTACCTTACTACCACCAATCTGGAGGGGAGGCGACTAGTCCGATGCAACCTGTCACATGTGGATGATTTCATAAGCATGCCTCGTCTGTTGCTTTATGCTGTTATTGTTAATGATTGATATGAATATCTGTTGCTATCGAAAGAAGTGGTGTCGAATTGTGTGCTAACCAATCGCGTGGACGATCGAGAGACTTTTTCTATCGCAGGCGCAGTTTCAAGCCGAGAAGACGGCAGTTTATTTATTAAAGTGAAAAGTATAAACGCAAACAAAAGGACGAGAGCAGTAAATTAGAACTGATATGGAATAAAATTATTGCTCTATGCGAGTGAACCACATACAGCAAGTGTCCGCGTCCAGACAAACCGAGCTACTGTTGCTGCTGCGCTGCTCTATTTGGTTCAATAAATCTTAATTTAAAGTAGAATAAGTTGATTGCTGTGTCACACAGTTGTGCCTCGACATAAGAGTTCCGTATAACAGCTTAAGCGCCAACTGACAACGATCGTGCGCAACGCCATTGTAGAGGCAAGTGACTGTGACCGTCTAAGTGAGCTCCACATTTCGTATTGTGTTCTGGAAGAGATAACATACCCAAAATGCTGAGTGCGTTAGCGTACTGCGCGAAGCTATGCTTCTGTATTTGATAGTGTGGAAGCGAGGACCGCCATCATCTGCTATTATGGATTGTATAAGGTCGATCGAATACTATATTAACGACTAAGCGGTGGGGCTTAATATACAAAGAAGAGAAAATCGTGTCCGAGTGTCCGGTTATGCCGGTTTTTGCGTGAGCGTCGTCGGTCGCTGGTGAATACAATCTATCCCAAAATTTGAACCGCTCAACACAACTTAGTGAAACTTCAACATACCAACATGGTGAAACTGATCGTTATGAATTTGTTGCTAAAATTTGGTAAAATTGATCCAAGGCGAGTGTTAATTTAAAGTGCAAAGTTACCAGTCATTCGAAACAGAAAAACAAGTCTCGTGGAAGAAAACCGTAAGGTGTTGTTCAGAAAAACGCCAGAGAACATTTCAACAAGCAGATTTAGAATCATTATCAAAGTGGAGCTGCTACTGAACAAAGTTCTCGAACAGTCTTCCTTAAAGTTTTGCCCCATTGGTGTGCCATATGGAGACGAAAAATAAGTATTCGGAATTTGTCGTTTTCATGGTTAACAAAATGCTGATTGATATCGAAAACACTCTACTGCAAAGCCATCGACAACGTGAAACTACCGGAATTAAGAAGCTGTACAACTCATTTTTTGTGCTTTTCTAACTGACTCGTTGAACCAAGAACCAAAGTATTGGTGCATGTCAAGTTTTATGTGCTTGTACTTATTTCAATCATATGTGGATAAAAAGTCCCGAAGAGGTAAATTTAAAAGTGCAAATTTTTATAATATTACGTGTTAGTGTATTCTTAATATATTATCTATATAAGTAGAAACAAGCACTGGTGCTCCAGAATACAAGCACTAATCGTTTGAAGATGTAAACTGCTAAACAGTCGAAAAGAAAACTGTGAAGATATTTCCAAATCCGTCAGTTGCACCTGAAACAATTGAACAAATTTAGAAAATAATCAATACCTCGGCGGAACCATCTGTGAGCCTGTTATCGCGTGTGATAAATATAAAATTGGAGTAATTAAATTCCAACTTATGACAGCTAGTGAGTTATCAATATTTCCATTGTTGAGAGGAAATTAAAATTCATTCCCAAATCTCGAAGAAACAAATAACCAAAAGTTTGAGTCGTTGTTGTTACGGTTGTGCGTCATCAATACCGTCAAGGCTCCTGCAAGTATCGCAGTGCAACATCATCGTACCGCTAATCGACAGGGCAACATTCGATGAGATAGAACCACGAATGGCGGTGTCGTTGTTGGCAAATTTATGCAATAGTGGATTAGAACAGCTTTGTCAAACACCGGAACCGTTAAAGTTTTATTATCACACCAACGGGCACTACAATCACCATCATCATCAAAGTAGCGGGCGCGATCAGTGTGGCAAGGAAGAACAAATGGAATACGCGAACTCCTTCTATCATAGTCAGCAGCAGCCGCAACATCAGCAGCAGCAGCCACATCAACAACAGCAACAGCAGCAAGATCAACAACCGCAACATACGAATCAACAGCAAAATCAGCAGGATTTTGAAGAGGTGCGTTTTAAATCTATTTACCTAGACTTACATTGACGTTGATTGGAGTACATATTGAAATGATTCATAAATTTGAGATAAAACGAAGTTGGGAACGCATCCCGGTCCCAATTTCTTCTTCCTGGCTATTACGTACCAACTGTAACTTGACGTCTGTTCTCAACTATTTCATTAAGCAAATTCACAGTCGCTAATTTAGGGCTTCCAAAGTCTATATAATTTTTGAATTTGCACCTAGCCGGAATGAATCGAATCTTCAAGGAATTTCGACGAACAGATTCTACACATTACATAATCTGTTCGTCGAAATTCCTTGAAGATTCAATAGATCTTCAAATAATTGTGTAAAAGAAGTCTCAGTAAATTCTGTCATTTATGTCAATACATTAAAACTTTAAAAGAAGCTGTTCTTAAACATCGTAAACCGTTTTGAGAAACTCGCAGAACAGCCCCAAATGTCTTAAGAAAAGAACAATATGGAAAATGTTGCTTATTTACTACAGGATGTTGTAAGAACTACCATTACAATTATCGTACGAAAAATTAACAGAGAATGTAAGTAAGGCATGCATTATGCGTTTATATGTTTAACATTTTCCTAAACATAAAATTTCCATAAAAAAGCATTTTTCCGGTGTAAGTTTGAATGTCTGGTTTTCTCCTAAAATCTATTTGCTCAAAGAATCTTCCCTGATCTAACTGTCTTCTTGATTTTTCGATCCTTTTCTCCAACAAAAAAGTATCCTCTCTAACACAATATAATTTACGGCTCCGTAAAGCTATCCAGCTTTCCACGCTCGGTATTGGCGTCCAGTATGGTATTAATTAAAGAGCCTAAATTTATAAAGAGGCGACATGTCAAAATTGGAACAATCGATTGTCTGTCAAAGTCATAGGAAAAGTCATTCCAATCGAGCAGAAGACCTGTCAAATGGATAAGATGACGTCTCTTTATAAATTCAGGCTCTTTAGTATTAATAAATGTATCATTCACGGTGGTTTTGAAATTAACTTTAGGTTCGGATTGACCCCTCCCTTTCCCTCTCCCAGGAACAGAGGAAAATGGAACAATGGTATCAAAAACCACAGTGAAGGATACATTTATTCATACCTACAGGACGTCATTGCCGAGTGTGGAAAGCTGCAGAGGATACACAAACCTATGGCAACTAGGTATGCCATTTTGCAGTGTTGTTCGGATAGCAGCCGATTTATCATTTATCTGAAAACACCCCAAAGTTCAATTTATTGCAAAACATCGGGGATCGATCTGTTTGTTTACAAAAGCATGTACACCCTAAGCACGAATGAGAGAAGATTTATCAAATTTTTAAGCTTTACCTTTCTTTACCATCTCGAAAAAAAAGGTTTTGATTTTTCTAAAAAATTGGAAAAGATATCAAAAATCAGTGTTTTTCTTCGATTTTAAAGAAAATGTACGTGTCAAAACGTTATTTCTGTGTCATCATAGCACAGCGTTGGACTAAAAAAACCGAAAAAATTGACCTTTCGGTTTTTTAGTACAACTTTTAATTTGTACAGTTTCTCAGAAATGTAATAAAAAAAAAAGATAATTTTAGAGTTTTTATAACTCTTACAATATTAAAAAAAAAACATTTATTCAAGCTTCTACATTCATTTTCCATCAGATGCCACTGCTGTTGTTTGCGGTGACATCTATCGGAAACTACGCACAATCTATGATCCGTTAATTGTTCACAGAGGGCAGTGCAGTACAAGCTGTAGTGGTAAGCGTGATTACCTCTCACCCCAGCAGGCCTGGGTTCAATCCCGCCGGGATGTTCTGAAAAAGGGAAGTAAAGCCGTTGGTCCGCGGTTCATGAGTTGATGGGTCGATAGGTAGGGTCCAGGTATGGGAGCTGCCTCCCTGGCGTCGGTAACATTGGTGCTCAGCACGGATAACAAGATCGACGGAAAACGAATCACGGAAAAAAATGTCTGGTACCTCTATATATGCATTTAGATTAACATTCGAAGTACCTCCTTTTTTACATACTCTGCATAAAAAATACTTTCTGAGCCTAACAGTATTTCCCGCCGGGGCTTAGAGAGTATCTTTTTCCATAGTATGTAGAAAAGGAGGGACTTCAGATGTTAATCTAAATGAATATATAGAGGTACCAACCAGTGGAAACTAACGATTTTAAATTGGCTAACTACTTGACTAGCCTATTGGTCCTAAGCAAATCGATTAACGTACCCCATTCTAGCCGAAATTCTAGTACTACACAATGCTTGTTTTGATTCGCTATGAAAATTTGACAGATAAAATGAGAGATTCAGCTCGTGAGAGAGAATTTTCTCTCTCAAATTTAATTTTTTAAGCTCTCTAGTACTGGTAGTAAAGCGGGTAAACAATGTACGGGAATAATCTTTTTTATATGAAATTGTAGCTTGTTTAACAATAATTCATAGGGTAAAAGTGAACGATAAAGTCCATAAATGATTCCTTTAGGTTGTCGTCAACTTTTTTTTACTTGAATATGTACCAAAAGCGTATTATTTCCACTTAGGGGCTGTTCATTAACTACGTAGCCATTTTTTTGGGATTCTTGACTCCCCCTGCGTAGACAATTGTCCATACAAAAATTTAAAAATTTGTTTGGGCCGTGGATAATTGTCAAACCCCCCCCCCCCCCCCCGAAATTGTCTACGTAGTTTATGAACAGCTCCTTATGGGGATTTTTATTACTCACTACCAGCGAATCCACTCTCATAAAGCAACCAAGGATACAGAAAAAACTATTACTACGACTACCACGACAAACTCTCTCTACAACACAGCTCGATCGGAGTGGTAGAAGGATAATTATATATTGCGTCCCTACTTTGTTGCAATATACATGGTTGAGGACATAGCTTGATCGGACAGAGAAAAGACATAACAAAAAAAATCCCATTAACACATTGCCAACAATTTGGTCGTTTCCTTACACCGACCCGAGCGAGTTGTGTTACAGAAATTGTTTGTCATGAAGAAAAAGGAAGAAGATTTTATCATTATTGCCTTCCATTTCTGACATAGCTTTATCTTTCCTCTCGTTGATCGCTTGTCATTTTATCATTTGAAGATATTTTTGATTGCTTGCTTGCTACCAATTGAACAGCGCCATCTGTGTGAAAAATAGCCTTGGCTTAATAGTTCATTAAAACCTTTTTTTTTGTAGCAAAAGGAGGTAATGCTTAAACATTTAATAAATGCGGACTTATTCGAAAAGTGCCGGAAAACATATTTTTGTAAACTTCCCGTTCAGTTGAAAATTGAAGTAGTTTCATGTACACGCTAGGAGTATATACACACTTAGAAATACCTAATCTTACACGTGACGGAATCCATCTTTGACATAAAGGATGAGACGTAAACAAACATGTAATGTAAAATTAAGTACTACGAGACTGAAAAGATCGAAAGTACGTTTGATTGAGCTGAATTTCACGTCTATTATGACTCAATTTATGTCAAAATTGACGCTCGTATTTGTCAGTCTCAGAGCACATACATTTACATCAAATTTTCTAAGTGTTTCTTTAATATTTATACTGAATAATAACTGAAAACTGGCATTTCTGGTATATACACGCTATTTCTAAACAACCCAAATTTGGATAGAATCCACCCAGATCGGTCAAAACTGAACCAACCCAAAAATGGGTAAACTATGTCGGAAGCGACAAGTTGACAAATGCACAAAGTCGATCGGATTCATGACAATGTTGTCCATTTGTCAACTTGTCACTCAAAAAAGGTTTACCCATTTTTGGGTAGGTTCAGTTTTGACCGATCTGGGTGGATTCTGCCCAACTTTGGGTAGTTTTGAAATATCGTGTACATACTTAGTTTTTTGCCGAGATTGGCAGCTGGTGCTCTGCATTTATTGTTACTGAGATCTCAGCATAATTTCTGTTTGTTAGCTGAAATCTCAGCAAAATTCTCGTTTGTTAGCTATATCTCGGCAAGCTTTTCACTGAGATTCAGCAAAATAAAATGCCGAGGTAGTCGGCGGTAGCAATCTCGCAAAAAAAAAAAAAACTAATTGTGTACGCCTGCATGTGCATATTCATACCAACAAGAAACTAGGGACCATGTATTAATTATTTCACGCTAAATTGAGGAAAACTTTATCACCCTCCCCTCTATCGTCACGTTTTTTCTATACCGAATGCTTTCCCGAGCAAAGGACTATACCAAATTGATAACAAGTTCTGATACCCGGTTTTCAAGATTTGATAACTGAATATGTTATCAATGTGGTTGAATAAGCAGCCAACATAACACAAATTATAACAAAAAATTACTCCGTGGATATCAAAAAAATAACTGATTTAGTTACCATTGAAAACATCTTGATAACAAATCCTGTGATCCATGCAAATATTTTCAACAAATTGCAAATTATTTTATCGATTTGGTATTAAAGTCTTACGCAGATAACTGAAACATGATTGGTAGTGTGTTTTTATTTCTTACCATGCGGATAATATTTGAAGTTTTAAAGTAACCTTGCATCATTTCATATTCTTTCATGATAACAACTGGTAACAAAATTAGTCGATGATGATAACTAAATTAGTTATGCGATAACAACTGAAAACAAAATGATATCTTGAATAACAAGACTTGTTTTCAAGATGATATCAGGTTGTTATTTTACTTTACTCGGGAATTGCTTGTCAGAAAATCCTCCTCCCCTCGCCACCATCCTCCCCCATAAGAATGTGGCATAATACATGCATCACCCTCTATGAATACACACAAACAGAAACATAAATACAGTAATTACCCGATGTTGTCAGCCCCACCGCGCATCAGACTTTAATCTTTCAATAATTTCACTAAACCGTAATTCCAAATCTTTCTCATTCCTCTTCAAGATGGACGTTTAAGGTATTCTTTGGTGCAATAAAGCCACTGAAAAAGCGCATGATCTTTGTAGAACATTAGACATGATTTTCAAAAAGGGAGCTGACAAAATCGGGTCATTACTGTATTCAGTTTCGACCTCAGAACCTTCAGACCCAGAGGGCTACATGGAATCCACTACAATACATCTTCACACACATACGTAAGTTACAGCATCGCGCTAACTCACACATCAGCTGCTACCTTGCTGATTCAGGCAAAAATTTGCTTCTTCAGCTTAAAAGTTGCTTATTCACCCTTTAATCAGCACAAATTGTAACTAGATATGATGTCAAACTGTCAAAAGTTATAATCCTTATGCAATACAATCTCGAAAATGCAGCACAATGATAGGCAATGCTTGCATTTATTACTCTACTATAGAGATTGAAAAAGTGCGATTGTGTAAAGTGATCCGGGGGGCTTGTAGCTTATTAATGAATACCCACCAACCTAAGTACTTCCAGGCTTGCTTCCACTCACTTGCTATAAAAACATGATTATCTGAATTTTGAAATCATTAGATGTTATAATGATATGTTGTACTTGTTATATACAAGAAGAGGTTGGAAGGCAAGTGTTCGACTCATAAAACCTGTCAATTTCGCTACACGGGGTGTTACAATCATCGATTTTATGATTCGTGAGCGTTCACTCAGAGTGAGCGCTCGCGAGTCGTTAAATCGCTGATTGTGACTATCTGAAAGCGAGTGAGTGAACGCTTGCGAATCATAAGATCGCTGATTGTGACGCTTTGAAAGCGAAATTGACAGGTTTTAAGTGACAAACACTCTACACCCACTTCTTGTTACATACAAATACAAAATTTCATTATATCATCTAATGGTTTCATAATTCAGAAAAACATTGTTTTTATAGCAAGTGAGTGGAAGCAACCCTACCCCGGTGAGCAATTACGCCCCTTTGAAATGTTGGTTCTGATTTGAATGTAGGCCGGAAACGTCTGCCATAGAAAATTTAAAGCAGTACGCTGGTTCCAGTGGTAGTGATAGCTATTAGTCTTTACAAGACAATTGCTCCTGTTGGCGCATACGCACGATCATTTCCAATGTCTGCATGTACACGTTACAAGTACAGTACACGTTGAACTTATTCAAGCCTCGCCCGTACGTGGACATCATGAGAAAATTGTTTTTCTCAAAAAGGACGATATGAGCCAGGATACGCAAGCAACATCAACAGTGAGGACGTTAAATACTGCAAACTGTTTCCCAAGAAACAACTCCAGCTGATCGCCAACGATACGTTCTCTACTGAAGCTAACGTACTCTGGTAAAGGTCTCCTCGTTGAATTGAAGTAGATAGGAAGGCCTCTCTGCTGGCAGTTGTCGTACCTGTTATTGGAGAAGACGAAACATCCGGAGTGATTTGAGATTTGGGCGTAATTGCTTTTGCAAACAACCACTTCAATCACCGATTTTTCGCGAATAAAAACACAGCCTAGAAAACTAACAACGCACTCATGTAGAGGAATGATTCCTCTGTCATTTGGGATAGTTTGTTCGCTACATTGAGCTTTTATTCGCAAGAAATCAGCGATTGATATATTTGTTTAAAATAGCAATTACGCCCAAATCTCGAAGTTCTCCGGACATCATTTTTAGATGGTCTTCCGTCCAAGCAAAATGCATCGGAATGATAGTTATTTAAGGTTAACCGTTGTATGCATTTCTTTTATTTAAAAAAAAATATCATCATTTTACTCTACAGTTTTTGAATGCCAAATTATCATATAGGTCACGAAAAGGTACAAATAGGGCAAGACGTTGCAAGTTGATTAGTACATTTATAGTTTATTTGTTTGTAAATAGCAACAGAACTGAGAATGATAGCTTAAATTTTCCAAAAAAAGTGTTAATGTGCTTACGACGTTCAAATAAACATCCAAATAATTCAAAGATTAATTTTACCATTTGGGTAATCGTTTGAATCTTGTAATGTTTACGATGTATTATTTGGATAACAGACTATAACTTTTGAAGAATTTCTTATACATATTAAAAATTGGAGCAGTGGGATAGATATGCGTCCATTTTTGCAATGGGACAAAACGACTTCACATTTTTTTTAATTTTTCTAGAATAAACAGCATGTTTTAATATAATATTTTAAAAATATGTATTGATTTATAACGCTAAGCATCATAACCTAAAAAAAGTCAAAATGTCACATGGGACAGTTATGCTTCCACAGGCAGTATAGGAACCTAACGCTTCTAACGTACCGCAACTATAGGAGCGTTTCCCTTACTGGTGAAATCGTTGGAGGATAAAATGGGTGGCTAACTCTCAAATATTTTTCGTTCATTAAATCATGAGCAGTTCTTTGGAAAATTAAGATAAAAAATAGTTACAGTGCGTGTCACTGCAATTTAAGAGAGAAATAAGTGTCGCGCACGGGCAGACGTTGTGTGAATAGATGGTGAAAATAAAACACGGTCGTTTATCGGGCCATCCTGCCATGGCAGAGGCATGCAAACTATTGAATTTATTTGCAATCTTTACAATAGAACGGTAGGCATGATAACACTACGCTTGCGGCACTTGTGTGTTGATATGAGTATTTGGGTAGGGTAGTTGCACACGTTTTGTACAAACAGTGTCTTTCTCTAGAATTGATTCTGTTTCCTCTGTTGAAGTAACACGAGGGCCCTACGATCTTCTGGCCGGATCTAGCTTCGTGTCACTATTCAAATGTTGTCCTCGAGTGGTACGAAGCCAACGGGGTCACTTTCGTGCCCAAAATACTGGGCTATTCTGAAGCATCCCACGGAGGTCAAATCTGACATGACATGAAGAAAAAGTCGGTTTTCGTACAAAAGAAGCTGCAGCCAGATGTTGTACAGAATCTAATGAGTGGAGTTAAGCTTAAGGTGCGAGCGTACGGTTATGGTAATGAAGTTGAATGAAATAAATATGCCAAAAGCTTACTAATGGGTTATATTTTATTGTCTGATAGTTTGAAAAGGATCGCTAGACAATCGTTTGTTCCTTTGCTCTTGTGGAACTAAAAATCAAAATTTAGCTCAATGTTGACCAAACCTCGGAATTAGTTTGGGAATACTATGCAGATCAACTTTTTCCAAGACCGCAAATCGTTTCAACTTCTAAGAAATAAGTTATTATTATTCTACTATAGGCCTAATTGCCCATCTCCTACCTACAGGCGTATATTTACATGAGCTTGTAGGTATGTATGTGTGAATCACTAGGCCAAAGTAAAAGTTTAATAACTTTTTGCACAGAAGTCAAATATAATATGTCATTAGCCAAACACATCCGTAGACCATATATGTAGGTCCACCGTTGTATATTTGGCAATGCACCCGTGTACTGAATGGGAATTGTGGGTTCGAATCCCACCGGTGCCCTTAGATTTTTTCGTAAATTTTCTCACACACACGTGATACCGATAATATGTGCTTACCTCTCAGTATGTTCAAACTTTCTTATAAACAAATCGTAAATCGAAGTCAAATAAATTTGCAGTCTTCAGCAAAATTGATCCACATAGTATTCTCAATCTTAGTACGTTTGAGCTATGTTTGAATTTTAAACACATTTCCATACAAAATTAAAAACTCGCAAATCCAGATCATAACCAAATTCACTCAAATTTTACACAGTTGTTGGGACCTCAATACGCTTCGAAAGAGTAGTGGGGAGCATGAAGTTGTAATGTTGACCCACCCTAATATACATCTGCCAAACTTGAACAAGCATAGAAAGTTCTCAAATAACAACTGTGGCTGGAAGTGCTAAAAAAACACAAAGTAGAGGGTTAACTTATAGATATAACTATATAGCCATTATAGTTATAACTATATAGCCAAACGAATACCAACTGGTCTAGGGAAATTAGTTCACTTAGGAGACAGCCAGCCATTCCCTTTCGTGGAGAATGATTTCCCTCGAATAGCACCAGATATAAAGTCCATTCTTTATTGAAATTCCATATCCACCTTCATGGACGGCTGCGAAAACAATTTCTCATACCCACCAGCATTCACATCAGCATCATTCGCAGCAACAACAAAATATTATCAGACACCTATACCGATAACAGCAGCAAAAGAAACCTTTCCCACAGGCAAAACTCAACCCATCACCGCCATCAGCAACAGGAGAAACAACAATATAAACGGACATCTTGAAGACAAGAAGAGCAATAGCTTGCAGGTTCATACGAAATTCAGTTCGTGTTTTGTACGAATAAGGCTTAATATTAGCATTTTGACCGATGACAGGAAATTCGAATATTTAGTAAAAATTACGAAAATATGTTTTATCTACGAAACCCAACCAATTTTGGTAGAACATCCATTTCTATCATATAATTGTAGTCTTTTCTAGTTAGAGATACTTATGTGGTAATTATAATTACCAATCTATCGATCCTTTGTTCAATCATATATAAACGGTCATATTGGTGATTGCTTCGGTTCTGTAGATATTTCCTTCTCTGATCTTTACAGATTTCTCAAAACTACAACCTCGACAACGACGATACCTACAGTGGTTCGCCAAATAATTTCCAGGACTATCGAAATAATTTCGTGGATTCTCCTCCGGACTCCAAGGAGTCCTGGCCAGTCGAGTACAGCAAAATGCAGACTGGGCTTGCATCGAGCAGTGGCACCAATACGAGTGCAACAACCACTGTAGTGGCGGTGGCAGCGGCAGCAGCGGCTGCAGCTGCCGCAGCCGCCCAGCAGGATGTTTCCTACAATGTTGTCATGCCTAATCGAAAGCGGCGCCTTGAATGGATGTCCACCCATCAGGATGACGATAACAATGGATCTGAGACGAAGATCGCAAATACAGAGAAAGATCGTGACGTTAGACGCAAAGGTAAGTTCGTTACATATATTAATAGGGTATAGCAGTACTTAGTCATATGAGGTCCATTTCCGTCATGTAGGTGTATGATCATTAAACAATTATTTAAACTGCTACACAAACATGTAGAGTTACGAACTGCTTAGGCTCCCAGGAGGTTTCATTGTGAGCACCTATTTTTTCATAAAAGTTTGATATACAAATGTGTTATTCATAATATTCTCAATCTAATACCGTGGTTTGGTAAAAAAGAGCTATTTTTTGAATTTTTGACCAGTTAATGCATACACAGCAAAAAAATAATTTTGATGTCACGTCAAAGTGGATGCACTACAATCATGTCGAAAATATGGTGTAATATTACTTGCTAAAAAGGACAAAAATATCATTAATACAATGCATGAACTGACATTACGCTGCTTTTACTGCATTTGTTTATTTGTGGTCATAAAAATTACATGAAATTTTCGACATGATTGTAGTGCATCCACTTTGATGTGATATCAAAAATATTTTTTTGCTGTGTAGTTTCGTTACATTTCCGGTTTATGAAAAAAAAACTTATTGTTCAATTTTTGCCAATGAAATATTTTTAACGACAAACCTCGGATGTTCATTCAAGTTCGATAATATTCGTGTTCTGCTTATTAAATAATTACTAATATGAGAATCTCTGATGTCAGTTTTATCTTTTGCATAATGTAAGACAAATTGTTTCCAGACGACATCAATTGTCCCTAATAAATAACCCAAAATTCATTGTTTTCTTCTTGATCTCACTTTATAAGAATATTGCAGGTACATTTATTGCTCTGTTTCATTAACAATGACGGTAACGCTGGTTAATCCTTGATTGTTGGTAGAGGATTAACGGTGATATCTCGAATATTTATTGCTGTTGAAACAGTCTGAAGCCATTGCCGTCATACCGGACACAGATTCTGGGTTTTGACCTGCTATTTACTTTTTCGTCATTGAAATGTGATGAACATGCACAAGGCTTTTCTGCTGTATGACTGAAATTGACGTCAGTGAAGGGAAGCTGCATTTGACTGATTTTGGTTTTCCCTTGAAGCATGCACAGAACCGGTTAAATCGGGTTATAACCAGAAGCGTGTCCTCGGCATTTCGAGGCAGTAAAATGCAAATGTGCACTTCATGTAGAATGTATGTCAGTTTATTACATCAGGAACGTAATTGGTTTGTTATGCCAAAATTAAGTTCGATCTGTCTCACGTAGAAGGACTCTAGACTCTAGTTCAAATCTCATCCAATGAAATGACACGAGCACAAATTACGTAACGCACGAATTGGGGGAGGGGATCTAGGTTATGTAAAATGTTACGTAATAGATTTACCAATGTGAAAAAAAAAATCAAGGCGAAAAAAAAGTTATTTGCTGTTGACACATTCAATTCACGTTGTTGCCAGTTTTTTGTACTGTAACAATGAAAAGTAACCTTTATATAATTCCAGAATTTCCATTAAGAATTGTTTATGAGTTTAAAATTTGAGTAGCTCAAAATGATTTGGCGAGCGACTTGTTGCATGACGTTACAACATTTTTCACTTCTCAACTACACTACTCAACAACTACACACCAAAACGTTTTGAGCTACTCAAATCAGAAACTCTTGATCAATTGGGTTCTTTATGGATATTGAGGTTTTTGCATATCCGTAATATGTATTGAACAAGGAACCAAAATCCAAAATTTCATCAATTTTGGTGTACTGGAACTATTTTAAATAATTGCGGATTGCAAAAACCACCATGATAGCGACCCTCGGTGGGACTTTGTATGGAAGCGAGCTGTCAATTTGTTAGTTTAGTTCCAAAAAGCGAAGTTAATATTTAACTTTAAATTTTGATTTATAAATCGAGATAAATTATATGGGATCGAAAAAAAAAAACATCATTGTGCTCAGAAAACATAGCTCTTTCAGATGATGTAAAGTAATTGATATATTTTTTAAAATTAAAGAATCCAATTTCTAGAGGAAATTTAACGCACTTTCCAAATCTGCAATAATAAAATTGTCAAAGACATTCAAAACCCGTTGTAACCAGTGACGTCGCCCTAACCTCAATCTACCTGTTCAACAACTCTCAAAACATAAACAAACAAAACAATATTGATTCCAATGAATACAAATCGGTTAAACTAGAAGATCATGAGCCTTTTGAAATTGACTTGAATGTAAACAATATCCAAAATAACGTTTTCAAAGTTGTTGAACAGGTAATAAGTGAGGTTACGCGACGCCACATAGAATGTGTCTGTGAAATAAATCCACGCGGCCCATTTATGAAAGCTTTGTTTTCTTGAACTCACCATAGTAAAAACCTTTCAAACTGTGTGATTTTTATGCAATCTTGAAAATAAAGGGGGAGGGGGAGTCTCTCTTTTTTTTCCTTTATTTAACGTCGGTCTCTGTTTCGCAATCTAGTGCCAATCACCGACGGACATCGATTGCCATCCATTGACGGCAATCGAATGTGCAGGAAGGCAGCTTCCACACCTGCGTAGGATATCGCACCCATTCAACACACATGCACATGGGCCGGGACCAACGGCTTTACTTCCCTTCCGAAGGAAGACGTGACCAGAGATTTTTATGCCTCAGAAAAATCCCACCGACCTCGGCTGGGATTGAACGGGAGGGGGAGTCAGTAGGCTATTAATGAGCCACATTTTGAAACCTTCATGGACGATCGAAGCAACCTGTTAATTTTTCCATTGAATCAGAATATGCTTCTGTATCAAATCAAACAAAATCGTAGACAATAATTCAAGACCAACAATTGAAATGGCCTTAACTCCATTTTGTAAACAAACCTTGTAAGGCCATTTTCTCGCGAACCAAAGTCCGCAAAAGGCAAACTAACATAATGAACAGGTAGGGGAAATTCTTCTCTGCCCGATTGTGGTTTAGGTTTGCGAATGAATGTTTCGGTTCGCGAGAAAATGGCCTTACAAGGTTTGTTTACAAAATGGAGTTAAGGCCATTTCAATTGTTGGGCTTGAATTGTCATGTCATGCTGGATTCAAACTGAATATAGGGGGTTTGACAAATATAGAATATCCCTTGGATGATTAAGGTAGTGTTGCGTAATTTTAGATGGGGGGTCTTGTCATGAGTTACTTATTGTTACATGGGGGGGGGGGAGGTCCTAATTCCGATTTTTTTGCGTTTAGTAATTTATGTACCGCGTGTAAATAGTAATTGATTTTAAATGTGTTAAAGTGACTATAATCGGACGTTGTGATCTACGACAAAAGGATGAAGCGGGTAACCCTAATCGATATTGCAATATTCAGTCATAGTTCTCGGTCAAGATAACGTAATACCACGATTTGGCAGAGGAGTTGAAGCAGATGTGGTGCGTATCCGTATAATTCCGTAGATGTGCCTACGAATTCGTATTTCCGCAAAAATCAATCCGTAAATCTACGGAAAATTTAGTAGATCTGACATCGCTGCCTTGAAGAGTAGGATATACGAAGAGAACTGAACATCATTCAGAAAGCGGTGATTCTTGGAACCTGTAGTATAGTCCGGCGGTTCCTGAGTCATCATAAGTAATCCAACCGAAGGAAACAAATTAGGATGTAAGCAAACTGGCGAGCTTAACCCTGGGGGCAGGACACCTTGGCTAAACATATAAAAATATTTTTATGCTATTTTCATTTTATTGACTTAGAATTAACCACAAAAGAATTTTTCAGCATAAACAGTTCTATCTTTTACATGTATTAGTTTTTGATAATACTTAAATATTTTCTTTGATATTAAGAAATATTTGATGATATTTTAAAATATATCTAAGTAGTTTTGGAGACTTCCCCAAAAAAATCAAAGTTCTAACACCTAGATTTTTTTCTTTTAGGTTAGAAAACCTCTCCCTGAAAATGTCTACTCATTTTGTTGCTAGAGAAGATGGCTCTTTTGGTTTTAATTGTATATGGTTGCTTTGGTTGAAATACATAAAAAACTGACACCCCTTCACTCTTCCGATCATAAAAATGGTTCCTTATTCTCGATTTGATTCAGATTTTCAAAACTTGTAGTTAATACAATGTGTAACAACTATGCTCGAGACTGCATCGTTAATCCAGTTAGTTTTATTGAGATATTCGCTTTTGAATGTGAATGAGATTTCATTCCAATCATTAAACCAAAGTGCCAGCCCGTGCTACGTCAAACACAGCTGAAACAGAGTTGTTTTCGTACCTAAAGACACGAGTCTTGGTATTGGCACGTTGAAAATCCAAACTTTTATGTTTTGAGGCAATTCAGTTAATACCGTGCTGCCTAAAGCGTATTTTTAAATTTTTAATACATAACAAATATTCCGAGCAAAGTACTATAAATAACCTGTTACACATGAGGAACCTCCTATCGATCTGAATGAATTGTGTATATGTTTAGGAACAACCAAATTTTCAGGCGCAAAGGAGCGAAAGGATCGAATTGATAGCGTTTATCAATTCTGAAATCTAAAGACTGTTTTGAATAATATGTTTAGGTAATGGGCAGGAACAACGGCCAACAGATGCACTACTTACAGTTTTTATTTCTTAAATACTTGATATAACGATTTCCAGCAACGCCGGCTGGGCGTATCCTATGACTTACCCTCCCTACTAACAAAATTACACCCTTCACGTGACACTTATGAGGGGTCGTAGAGTTTTCTGCATCTCTCTTAAGTAAGTGTCGGACTAACATTCCTCCCCCTTCCTCACCAGATGCAAGGACGTGACCAGGGCAGCTAAGAGGTAGTAATTAATTACAAATTACTATCTAACAGCAACGGATGAAGGTGGGTCTCCTTCTTAACAACAGTTTGGAGCTCGTACCACCTACGGCATTGTGCAACCTGGTGCATACTATGCTATGCTATACTATACTATACTTTACTATACTATACTATACTATACTATACTATACTATACTATACTATACTATACTATACTATGCTATACTATACTATACTATACCCGAGCA